AAAGCCCATCTCTATTCAACATCGGCTTTGGAGGAACATATATATGTTCCATGGTTTTGAGGAAAGAAGAATCTGAGATTGTGCTTACAGCTATTCATGTGCTGCGGTGATGAGGGACAAATAATCAAAAGACCCTTTATCTTTGCGTTTGTAAAATCTCAACAATCTGCTCTAAACATCAGGCAGATTCAGCTTGTGTGAAATATGTGCAAAAAAAATTCGCAGGCACTGCTTTAGGGTCTTGCATTAGCTGGATTCTGAGCTTGGTGGTTCTTAAATCTGCAATTACATGCTTAATCAAATCAAAACACTGTCAATAAGTAAAAAGGGAGAGTTCTGAAATAAAGTAAGAGGTTCAGGCATCAACCTTGTCCCCAGAATTGTACATGCGAAGCCCCATATCCCCAGTCCTGTTTGGAGCATCTGGCTGGGAGCTCCAGTAACGGGGCTCTGCAGAAAGTGCTTGCTTGACTGCTGCGCCCTCACACCGCCTGTCATGGAACTACACACACTAAAATAAACACCAGCTGTGGGGCTAAATCCCTCAACCAGTTTTCAAAATCTGAAAAGATGCAACAGCATCAGGGGCGTGGGGTAGACAGGCACAAGTCTGAGCCAAGCAGAGGCAGCCACGTGCTGGATAACCACGTTTCTGGAAAGCGACTGAAAAAAGTGCTGTGACTCCTGCAGTAGGAGAATTTTTAACAAAAACCAAACCGATCTCCTACCTACCAAGGACCTTGTCTTATGGACCCCAGGAGAAAACACAGCCTCAGCTCTCAGAAAAGACTTGCGACAAAGAGATCAGGCACTTGGCAGCCGTAGGCAGTCGCGAGCGAGAAACTGAACAAAGAAACCCAAACCCAATCTCAACAGTTATACAATATATTCTCTGTAGTTACGTTGCGGACTCTGAGACAAAGCTGGCAGAGGATGTTCCAGGTGCGTAAGAAATGTGTTCATTCATGTATGAAACAATCTGTGTCACGTTCCATCCTCATAAAAAAACCAGCTGAATAATCTACAATGAACTGAATGTAACAGAGTCTACACCACTTAAAAAGTGAAGAGTCAGCATGGAAAGTTAAATGTATAAATAGCAAAACATTCAAGCTTGTTATGTAAGTATCTAAAGTGCAGTTTATCAGGAGGGTGGTTGACGTAATACTACGGGATTCTGTGCTTAATCTTTTGATATTCTCTTTCCATGAAGATTTCTTAATCTCCTCCTGGCTTTCACTTCTCATGAGCAATACAGACTCCATAATTTGTCCCTCTTCATACTAAAGTCTCACAGTTAAACAGTACTTTGCAGTTAAAGCCTCCCACCGCCTACTTATAAAGTGCAGATGGGGTTTCTTTAAAGTAAACCGTTCTATCTGAATATGTAAATTTAAATTATGGGGCACACGTTCCACCAAAATTAAGGTGTGTTCCTGGATTCTGAGGTCTACTGAAGAAAACAGCAGTGCTGCTTCATTAGAGCTCGTCTTCCACGGAGAAGCGTTACATTGAATTGCTTCACCACCTGCTATCAAATGCCAAAAATATATCCACAGAGAGAAACAGGTTTAAAAAAAACGGTATTACCAAAATTCTTGAATGCAGATTGAACAAGGTGGTAGTGACTGTGAGAAACACTTGTGATACCGGGAGCATTTTCTGTTGCCAAGAGTTTGACATGGAGGAGTTAGCTGAAAAACTCATTCAGCTGTTTGAAACCAGGTGTTGGAAGCAAATGCACTACAGCCAAAAGAATCAACTGCATTTCAAATCATACAATTTCCCTTCAGCCAAATATTAGATCAAAAGAGAATTAAAGCTAATTATAAAACAGTATTTTCCATCACATCTCTTCCAAAATCATGTAAAACAAGTTATACTGTTTGCATCTTAGCTTTAAATGTAACTTAACTGCCAAAAAGGTTTCACTTCGCCTGTCTGAATTAAAGTCCTCCTACTCGTATCTCTTTCTAAAGCAGCCAGACTCCTGCACGCAGAGGAACTCAGCAGACTGAGCACAACCTAAAAGTGACAGACACCGAACAAGCCAGGATGATTCTATGAGTCTGTGTTTACGGAGAGCGAACAAGAGTCAGCCACGGATCAATACAATACTGTTGCCAACCTCAGGGGCTGCACGGTCTAAGTCAGGCTGCTCTAACGTCTGCACATTCAGGCAGACATAATTAAGGGCGCAGGTATTGTACAATACATGACAGAGGTAGATCGGCAAGCGATAGGCTGCGTATTCCAATTCTGACCATGGGGTAGTCTTCTAAACACTCGCGGGTAGCACATCTTCCTTGTGCTAAAAGAAAAAGCATTAAGATGAAGTCCGGAGATGACTAATACTGCTAGCTAACAACACTGCCTTCAAAACACGGATGAGATTCGTCCTGATGGCAGATTTTTGTTTATCATGTCTTATCTTCAGTTCTGGATAATGCATGTCTTGAGCTATATCCAGAAAATCTAGATTCCCGGCATAAGCTATGGTGTTAATCTGTACCGGGAGAGTAATTTTGAGGTTTTTCTTTTATTTCCAAGGAAGAATTTTTCAGCTCATGGTCTGCAGAACTACTTGCTGCTGATCTGTGCCAAGCCGATGGTCGTAAGGTGGCAGATTTCCTGGTTCTTCATGGATATTAAAGAATAAGAGTTCATCGCTATCAAGTCTGTCCAACACATCCTGTAGGATTCATATTAAATGACACCTGCTACTTCCCTAATTCCCTTTCAAGTAGCTGCTGTCTGAATCCTACTCCAAAAATAGGATCAAAGATGACCCACCTTAAAAGATGTAGTGCAAGAAAAGTTTGGGATATGCTGCTCTAAGGTTTGTAGGAAAAAAATCAGCATGTCATACAAGTGATATAAATAAAAAGCACTTTAACAGACAGTTAACACATTACAGGAGTAAGGATGTATGTCTTTCCAGGCACTAGAAAAGGCAGTCTAAATTTCAGTGACGTGCAGTTAAAACTGGCTAGCCGTTTTCAATATCACTCACAAGATCAGTAAGGCAGGGAAACCAAAGCACCCATAATTTTACATGATTTATGCTCAGAAGGATACACACGTAAATTACATTCTTCAGGGTCTAACATAACCTGAAAGAAAGGCTGCTGGAAGGATGGTAGAGGTGTGCAAGTTTTTGGTCATTTGGAATGAAGAAAGAAGCCAATTTGCATAATTTTTTAAAAGATAAAAACATCAGTGACAAATGATATGTGAAAGAAAAGCTAGCAGCAGCGTAAAATTAAAACAAGAGCTTTTCCAACTTTTTTTTTTTTAAATCCTGACAATTTAATTCAACACGATCTGAAAAGAAACACACACTTCCTAGTTGCAAATGAGTAGGAGAACTAACACATTTCTTTAAAATTTGCCATTGTAGAGATGCCTTATCAGTAAGAAAGTGGCTTTTCAGCACACTCTGGTTCCTGCAATTACAGGGAAACCAAACAGAGGCCCCAGATCCTCCAGTAACAAAACTAAGGCCGCTAAAATAAAGGTTTTGTTCGTTTTCTTAAAAACAATACCACACCTAGCAGATGTCACAAGTGACTGTTGACAGGTCTCGTTGGTGCACTGCTCCTATTAGGG